AAATTTTCATTTAGAATACCTAATAAATATCATGGCCTCCTAGATTTATCACAAATGAACATTGGAAATGTATATGTATATATAAAACGGTATATTACTTTTTAGTGACAGAATGCCGGATTATGACGAACTGGTCCCTCTTGTGGACTGATTTAAAAATACTTTAAATAAGTAATCTTAAATAAAATTGACAAAATAAGATTACCATTTAGCAACTATTAAATTAAAAATCAAAGGATTTATATAAACACAGGTACAGGTACACTAGTAATAAGTAACAATTAACAACAAATTTTCTGGGGAGGGGGCTTAGCTTTGCAATCAGAAAATTCACAAGAAATTTTATATATTGAAAACGGCACAAAATATAGGCAGGCAAAGATGTAAAAATCAGCACGACTGCCACAAACTAAAGCATTGTGAACAATTCACAGTTTATTTGTGTTACTTTAAAATAACTAGGTACCGGTAAGGTAATTTATGAAGTCTTTGTGTCATTAATAAGAGACTTGATAACAATTCTTGAACTTTCTTTCTTACCCTAACCATTCAAAATTTTTATAGCTTGAACAAGGTGTTTCTACTTACATTTTTGGTAATATGCAACAATAGCCTTTGAAATTGCCTGTCTGATGGCTATAAAGAAGAATAAAAATAAAGATTTCATCTTGAATCACGTAACACAGCGGTACAATTCAGTGTAATTTATTATGTGTTCACCAAGGCTGATAATTTATACTTTGAAATAATTATAAATATACCATTTTTAAAGATACATTTACCATAACTTTAAAAATATTTCAATGTAAAAAATAACAGCTAAATCCCATTTATTGTAATAACCAATGATACTGGTAACATGCAAAATAATTGGTCCAGGAATATATAAGAAATGACATTGAACGTCTAATGATAAAGATAAAAAAAAATCGTTTAAAAATAACATACAAACTTACCGTAAATCTGAGCAACATGACCGCCACCTTTTACTCGCACACGAATATCTATATAGTCATAGCAACATATAAAAACCTAATCAATCAAAATACATGACTAGACTTAGACCATGGAAATGCCTTTAAAAAAATCTAAGACTTAGGCTTAGACTCTAAGAAATGTAGACTTTGACTTATACTTATAATATATAAGATACAAGCAATAATACTAATAATAGTAATAGCACTAATACTAATACTATTGCTATCATCAATTTCATTATTAATTAAAATTAATTCAATTAAAATTTTACGTTAAACACATTAAAAGTTCTAGTTCAAAACAACCCGTCATGCGGCTAATTACGCATAATACTTTTTTTTAAAAATTGCCAAACAAGCGATTAATAAACCTTATTTGGCTAAATTCCCAGCCGACTGCGTATAATGCTTCCCAATTTATTATGTGTTCACCAAGGCTGATAATTTATACTTTGAAATAATTATAAATATACCATTTTTAAAGATACATCTACCATAACTTTAAAAATATTTCAATGTAAAAAATAACAGCTAAATCCCATTTATTGTAATAACCAATGATACTGGTAACATGCAAAATAATTGGTCCAGCAATATATAAGAAATGACATTGAACGTCTAATGATAAAGATAAAAAAAAATCGTTTAAAAATAACATACAAACTTACCGTAAATCTGAGCAACATGACCGCCACCTTTTACTCGCACACGAATATCTACTCCAGAAAATCTGTCCTTGCCGAGCAACAAAACTGGCTCTTGAAGCTGATTAAAATATTTAATAAAAAAAAAAACAATCATTGTCTTGAAAACTGGATACTGAAAAAAAATATAAAGATCAACAGACTAATTATTCTTTGACTAACCTTGACACGTAGGATTTCAGGCTCCATCTGGTCAAGAGGACGGCCATTAACTTTGATAAGACCGTTCCCCCGCTTGCAATGGGCAACTGCTGTTGCAGTTTTCTGGTTGGGAAAATTAATACAAATATGTCATGACAGAGTTAAAGTTAAACTTACATATCATCCTAAATACCTATAGATATTTATTTGAGAAATTAATTATGGTTAAATGGTTGTGTAATTTTTGTTTTAAGGGATTATGGGCAAAGTCTCTATGTCTTTGTATAACTGTGTTGCTCACAACATCACTTACTGATTATTTGAAACTACAAATCAACCAAGCTACTTTTACAATAACCTTTTTATTAAACAGTACATATTAGTGAAATATTTGATTTTCCAATGTAAAATAGAGCTTGGGTAATCAACATTTAGTAATTTAAACAAAAAAAAAGATTTTTTACAATAGTCTTAGTCTTAATGTTTTAGTTATAGAAAAATAATTGGTGAGATTCCAATCTAATGTATCAACTACGAACATTCCAATCATATTCATTATTCAATGATCACCAGTAAAAAAACTAAAGACTAAAGCCCATTCATAAAGGTTATATTTTATTGGGCTTAATGTTAATAATGTTATTGACACCTGCTGTTATTTACAATGATGGAAATATTGTCACCATTGACGTCAGAAATAAAAAATTCACAATCAAATAGTTCTTTAGTAAAATTTTTATAAATTGGATTGTAGTGCACCAGTTTAATAGTTTAAACAAAATTGTATGTAGAGTAGAAATAATGATGATTATCACGTTTTACCTTGCGCCCAAATACTTGCACAGCTTGTAAAGGACCCTTGGCAGGCATCTGAAAACACACAAGAAAGTAGGCTCATTTTTTAAAACCACAATTACAAAAAATCAACAATGATTTACAATGGCAAATGGCAATGGGCATTATGAAGCAGGATTGCACAAATTCATTTGCATATCTGCTATTTTGTCAATATTTAATCAGCCTATTCCGACCTATTTATTGGCTAATAGACCTTCAGAAAAAACTCTCAATGGGCCATGTGTATGCCGGAAAAACCAACGAGAAAATAATAGTCAGTTATATAGTCCCACTTATCGATAAAAGGGAGTTGACATACAATATATAAATTGGGTACCTATAAATTGCAGCTATATTTAGATTCTTTCTTCAACACAGTTTGACTAAAATTAGATAAAAATTAACTTATTTTTTTACCAACAATTTATAAAACCAACAAGACTTTGTAAACTAATAATCATTGATAAACAAGAGTCTTCATATTATACCCTACCTTTCGATCGAGATCTAACATGGGAAAGGAAGTTGCTGTGGGGTTTACTTTCAGTCCACATGGGCAAGAAATTAAAATTTTCCAACTAAAAATCTTTAGCGAAACAATTTTTGTTTTAAAACAATTCTTTTTTTATCTCGAAATAAGTATTAATAAACCAATTTATTTGTTATCCACGCTTTCTCTAAAAAATTATCTTTTAGATTTGTTATCTATCCCAAGCGACACATTTTTTCATAGATCCAAAAACTATTTCAAACAAGTTTAAATATTTAAAAATGTCAAATACGTATGTAAGTTAATGTAACGCATAAATTTAGACCATTATTAATTAATACAAAGGAAATTGAAGCTTAATCACTTAACAAGCAGGCGCAGTGGCGTATCGAGATAGTGCCGCTCGCGGTGGACTCTGAGTTAATCCCCCCCCCCTTTCCGTAAAAACACTACACATAAAATATGGGATGGATTTAACTAACCAGAGGTTCTAGGTCAAGCTGATTAAACTTTGAGGCTCCTTGTAATCTCCAAGTGAATTTTGCAAAGTTTCACAAGTCCATAAATATGTCCGATTTTGACAGGGATTGTCCCGGCTTAGCAGCCTTGTCCCGGTCGGTTTTAATTTTTGACCCGGTTCCAATATCAGTTTGGTAGAAACCTGTCTTTCTTGGATAATCTCGTTAACATTAAAACAATATATATTTGGTTGGTATCAAATTATAAGGAATTAATATGTAGGCCTAGCTGTGCAAACAATTATACTTACAAAGACTGTCAAGTATGTGAAGCTTGTATTGGGGTGACATGCGTTTATTTATGAGAAATTGCTCTTGTAAATTGGTACCCAATTAAAAAAAAATAGTAGTGGCCGTCGTATCAACGCAAAAAGCATTTAATCTCTGCCCCTACGACCCCACCCCCTCAACTCTCCTTCGCATGTCATTGGCTTTTGTATAAAATTAAATTTAAAAATATATTAAAAACGTTTTAAAAAAAAAAGAATTAGTCTACTAATACTACTATCAAAGACGAGAAGACGAGTTTAAACGCATTGATTTAAAAAGAAAGATATGCTAAGTGTAGATATGCTCTCTACCTAAAAAAGGATTCGAAATGAATGTAGACAAAATGTAAATATCTTTTATTTTTTTTTAAATTTTTGAAAATATTTTTCTGCCCAGAGTTTCTTTTCGTAAAGCATTTTAAGAACATTTTAATTACGTTTCTACTTTTTAGTACTTTTATACTCATCTCTAATAATAGAAACTAAGAAAGTGTTTGTTGGAATTTTTTTATATATGATTTTTTTTTTTTAAATTTGCAACATTTGAATACTAAAATTTTAATGAGTGTATTATTGACAAAAGAAGTATTATTTATTTTTTTAAAATATAATAATCCACAAAATCATACAGTCTATCGCACTCATATGAGTCGCGTGCCCCTTTACACGCTTTCCCATAACCGCTTTGACCCAACTCAGATGAGAGGCGAGATATTAACTGAGCAATAATGTCACGTGAGTAAAAGAGGACAAAAATCAAGGACATACAAAATGGAAATGCTAGTAGAAAGATATTCTTTAAAAAGATACCTGACGGTCCAGTTTTTAAGAAAAAAAAAAAAATACACAATTATACCCCCTCCCCCCCCCACAAAAAAAAAAAAAAAAAAAAAACAAAAAAAAAAAAAAAAAAAACACCCTTAAACCCCCCCCCCCCAACCCAAAAAAAAAATAAAAAAATTAAAATTAAAATAAACACCCCCAAAAAAAGAAACGCCCAAAACACCCAAGAACGGCAACGCTTAAGTTTTTAAAGGGACAAGCACTCTATTCAGTGCGGGGGAATGTAATGTAAAAAGAGTTATGTCTATATTTCCCGCGTAAATCGTGCAGAGAGCCAAACAAATATACCGCTTAATTTAAACATTTAACAATGCCCCCGCAGAAAGATGGATTGGCACTTGAAACATTGCCAAATGAAAGCTTGTCAGAGAAAATCAAAGATGCCTATGCAGAACAAGAAAAACGGTATGCATTATGTATTATTTTAATAGTTATGTCAGTCGTAATTTCCGCATGAAATTTGGTGAAATTAAATTGACCCAACGAACGACCTAGTAAAGGAGGACATGATAAAGCAAAAAGGAGGACAAAGGAGGACATGATAAAACAAAGGACACAAAGGAGGGCATTTTGAATTTTTTATGTGAGTCGTCCCGGATTAAACTCAGTCAGCACAATTTTATTGTAATAGCTGCCGGCCATGCCAATGAATTAAGTGTATCTTATTTTTAGTGGATCGACCAAGAAACAGTCACGTTAAAAAAACAAATTCAATAGACGCCTTTTTCAAAATGTCATAAAACATTATTTAAATAGCCAATTGTAGAATTATTACCTTATGTAATATGTCATGTAATTAATAAAGATTATATTTCTCGGAGGAGCCAACTTTCCGCAGAAGATCCTCGTTAGCAATCACATATGCATAAAACTTCACATTTAAGATTCTTCAAATGGTACTTTGTAAGAATAATGCCCTTTACAGAGTCGAGTACGAGTATATTCCTTTCCTTTGTCCATTGAGCATTAATCAAGAAGAACAATAATAATTGCCATTGTGTCCAGGAATACAGAAGAAAAATTCACAAATTTTAAGTAACTGATAAGCAACATTCATTTGGGCAACTTTGGAAAATAAACTCCACTTTTCATGCAAGAGTCTTTCAAAAAACTTCATTTTTTTCTTGTACAAATGATTTAAGATTGCAGTATTGGTCAAACAATTGCACATCATCTACAATAATACCCTTCTCTTTCAGATACAATATGCATGCCAAAAGGTCATCAAATTTACAGTGTTTGATTTTATCTAAGTACATTCAATTAAAGCATTGAAATTCATCAAAATGTTTTAACCACTCCTTTAAGTAACTAATGCATGCTTCATACACTAACTTAACATCTGCCATAAAAGTATTATACTCTTCTTCTCGACCACTTTCCTAGAATGTTAGAATGACTAAAATTGACTGGTTCGCAGAAATGCATAGACTTTTTACATTGTAACAACGTAAACATACGATTTAATATTTTAATAATAAAAACAATACATAAAAATTATAATATAAAATTGTAAGAAAAGCTGGACATTTTACAAGATTTTAGCTTTGCCTGTCGGACGGAGGACAATGAGCTAAAAAGGAGGATGTCCCCCTTTTGGCGGACGTCTGGCAAATCTGTATTAGAATGATTAGTAGAAGTGAGATTTAAAAATTAAAATATTGTTATAATAAGGCCTACTTTGAAAATAATATTAAATAAAATAAGGCTAAAATAAAATAAATAGGGCCTACAACCAACTACCACAAAAATTTAAAAAAATATTCTTATACATTCCAATCTGTGGGATTAAAAACAGCACAACACACGGTCGTCCTTCGCCTAGCTCTAAATGCAAAAATATTAGATAAATTTGGACTATCTGCACCATGGAGTTTCCTACAGCTGCCATCTTGGTTGCCACAACCCATAATGTCACAGGTCATGGAAACCAAGATTGTGGCTGTGTAAAAAAAAAAGTGGGGGGGGGGGTAAATGTTGAGAATAATGCCCGCTATCTTCGTTAATTCTGTCACTAATGTATCCCTAAATCGATCCCTATGCCTAACCTGAACCCTAAATCAATCCCTCAACCTAACCAAAACCCTAATTCACTGCAACCATAATAAACACACAAATGACGTCATGGTCATGATTCTCAACAATAGCCAAAAAAAGAACTCACCTCTGCTAAAATTGGAATAAAATGTTTAAATTTAATGCAAAAATGACAGCCAGTACATAAATTTCATGGTGAACGTAGCTACTTTATTGTATAAATCTAGATATGCGGCAAGAAATGTCAGCTACCTGCCTTAGCCAGCGCCCTTTCCTCGCGTAATTTCAGTAGGTACATATATTTTGTGGTGAACTTATCAACTTTATTTTATTCCTTTGACTTGGATATGCAGTCGCCTCCTTTCAGCCATAATTTCAGCCGGTACCTGCTTCATTCCCTCAACTAAATCACATGGAAGTCGTGTAATTGTAAAATAATGACAACCCAACTTAGTTTCATAGAATACGCTTTTACACGCTTTATTTCAGGCTCCACCAAAGAGAAATCCAAAATTTGTCAGAAAATCCATACATTACATATTCATTTTCCAATATTCAATATGCCTGAAAATTTAAATATTTTTGTAATTAACCAACAAATGAAATTTTAATTTAAAACAATCTTATTGTCTTATTAAAGAAAAGTTAACTCTAGTAACAACAACCAGAAGGGGAGGGAATTCAACACAGAAACTTAAAATAAACACGTAAATGACATCTGGGCATGAACTGCCTGTTTTAGCCACATATTCAATTTACAAATAGAATACTACTTTGCGGGAATTCATTTATGGCGATATAGCCTGGGACTGATTAAACGCAATAAATTATAAACAAGGGACGACTGCAGCATGAAAAAAAAGCAAAAAATGAAAGGTTTAAGAAGAAAAAGTCTTGAGCGTTAAAAAAATGTGTTGAGTTAGATGCACTATTTAAACTAGGGGTGTGCCGGAATCCGGTTCCGCCGGATTTTGCACTATCCGGTGAAATCCGGTTCCGCCGGATTTACATGTATCCGGAACAACCGGATTCCGGAATCCGGAATATACCGGATTTCGGAATTTGCCAGATTTTGTGACTCACCGGATCATAATCTGAAATAAAAGTAATTCTCTTTCCCGAATTTCACACGATCACGATACATTAATCGATTGTTTCGAGCGTTGAGCTTGTTTAATGTTTAATATTCCGTACATACCAGAGGCTAGAGTCAGCACCGCTAATAGTGGCCAATAGTGTAGGGACTTTGATAAGAAAATTTAAACTTTTTGTAAAAATAAACCAATGGCATAGTTGAAAAGATGTAATTTTTTAAAGAATTATAACACCAAAATCATATTTTTAGCTGTTGTAGTTTTAAAGTTATGAATTTTTAAAGTACGACTTGGTTTGTCATTTTTTAACATGGACTGCATCTCCACATTCTGTGATCTCATTCCACCAATCCCGTCATGCGCAATGACTATATAGTTTATATAAGGCAACGCATTCCCTGCCTTATCACTAAAATACTGTTTAGACTTAGTTTAAACTTTCAACTTTGGCACATGAATAATTAATTAAAGCTTTCCCTGACCAATGGTTTAATAGTTTTTGCACACGGCAAACTCTTATGAATGAAACTCTGAGGTAGTACTACGATACAGTTATGCAAGTGGCTGTGAATGGTTGCCAATGACAACGTGTTGCACACGGTAAATTCTGATCATTTATAATATGGATTCTACCGGGTTGTTAAAGCTCAAATTAAAACATTCCAGTTTAAATGTCTTTAAATGCATTCTGAAACACAAGTTATCAATTATTTTGATGTAAATAGTGATAATAAATTAATATTTCCTAAGTATCGTCAACTTCCGCCATTAAAAAGGGGGGCGTGGCCAACCCCATGGCGAAATTAGGTTGAGCGAGCTGCATAACCTGCTGCGAACGCGTAGAAACATGGCGTCTCTCGTAAGACACTTATCCAAATGGAACGGAACTCAAATATATATCGAAAGTACTAATTTAATAATAAATAGACACACACATCGGAAAATTAAAAACTCGGATTTTTTGGCGCCGATTGCGAATTCCCATACACAAAAAGTAGTAGTCCACCTTGACTTACCGAAGTATCTACCAATAGTACCAAAATCCGGAATCCTGGAGAAACCGGTATCCGGATCCGGCGGATTTCGCATAAGAAAATCCGGATCCGGTTGGAAAAAACGGATCCGGCACACCCCTAATTTAAACTGTTCTTCTTTTACTGAAAAGATAAAATTGTTTTAGTGACAATATAAAATTCATTTTATTGATCCCAATAAATGGAAATGTTTTTTTATGACATATTTTTCATTGTAGATATTCATTTCAGCACATACAAGACAAAATTGTTAATTGTAGAGGAGGAAAGGCTAAAACATTAGTTCGCTGCAGTAATCTCAGGGACAATACCTATGCAGTAAACTTACACACCATTATTATAATTCATAATATATGTCTATAGCTCTCGATCCCTATATTTTGGTTTCCAAATTTTCTTTTTGAGGAGTTAGACACTTGTGAAGACTATAATAATTTTTTTAAAGTAAAATGCTTTTTACTTTTTGGTTTTCAAATTTTGAGTCATGGCAAAGTTCAAAATATAAATACCAAAATTTGGAAAATGTCAAATGTCTGAAATCGGTGTTGAAAATGAAATAACGTGGAATAGAACAAATTGATGAATGCTTTCAAATTAGATAGTTGTCAGAGTCCAAATGGCTTTTTTTAAACCCATTTTCAATTTTGACTTTTAATAGCTATGATGAGCAGCAATATCTGGATGCAATTAAGAATATCATGGAACGTGGATATCTCAGAAGTAACAGAACAGGGATAGACACAAAATCAATATTTGGAATGCAGATGCGATACAGTCTTCGTGGTTGTAAGTTGGGAGAAAATATGATTTTTGAGTGACCATTTAGCATCACATTGTTAGTTAAGTATGTAAATGATTTTATATTCACATTTTAAACAATATTTACTTTAATGTCATTGAATGATATAATAGTTCTAATCTGCACAAGTTTGTCAACTCTTTTTTTTTACTTCTAAAAAAATATATGAATATACAAGACATTTGTGCTATGTAACCTAAATGAACTCATGGGTATAGGTGAATGAAAGGTGGTAAAAAAAAAAGTTTATCCTTCTTTAATTGGTGCTTGGTTTCTTTCATGTCTATACCAAAGTCTGGGGGTTAGGATAAAAATAAAGTTATTTATAAACCTTAAGAGTTTTACATATCAGATGAGATATATGTATATTGCACATAATTTACTCACAAAGTGAATCTTTCTCAATAGCCTTTCCTCTTTTGACAACTAAAAGAGTATTTTGGAGAGGTATTCTAGAAGAGCTGTTGTGGTTTATTCGAGGCTCAACAAATGGTCATGAGTTGGCTGAAAAAGATGTTCATATATGGGATGCAAATGGGTCTCGAGAATTTTTAGATCATAGAGGACTTCACGATCGAGAAGTGGGTAAGTGTAAAATTTCTATCAAAACAACTTATAGGACTTGTGATAGGGCTTGTGCTTGTTCTGATTCTGACTGCAGGTGTGTAGCTAGCTGATGAGACAGTTTCTGCCATGAAATGTTACTGTGCAGTAGTTGCAAAAGATTGATGGGACATCTCCAGGTGCAGAATTAACCCTGACTTGTCTTTTGGTGCTCTCCAGCTGCTGTTCCATTGGTTTCATGTTGCATATGTAGCTTGTGATAAACGGTTTATGTGTAAATTTATTTTTTTTAAAGCTATCAAGTTTTCAACACACTCCTATTAAAACTAGCCTGCAATGTATGATTATTTATGTAAATGCAAACATTTATCTTAATATTTCCAATTCTGTAAGTCTGTAATGCTATGAATTATAATGTTTGTTAATTTCTCTGTATCAGGTGACTTGGGCCCAATCTATGGGTTTCAGTGGAGACATTTTGGAGCAGAATATCAAGACATGCATTCTGATTACACTGGCCAGGGTGTTGATCAGTTGAATGATATCATACAGAAAATAAAGAAATCTCCTAATGAAAGAACCTTGGTTATGTGTGCATGGAACCCAAAAGGTAAATTAAAAAAGTTTCTTTTGGAACTAATTATATACACGATAAATCTCATGAAACCCAATGGTTTTAACTTGTCTTGAACCGATAAGTGAAGGAGTTTGTTTAGTTGATGAGAACCCCTTCGGTCACTCCAGAGTGCTTAAATGGTAAGGCTTGTTTTTGGTGAACTGTGTTTTACAGAAATTTATTAAGTCTAATTTTATTTTCTGTTAGTTTTAGGTTGAACTATTCTGCATTAATTCCCTCATAATACTATCTTGTTTGTAGTATACATGAATAAACTTCTATACCTTAAGTTTGAATCAAACCGCTGAATATTTTTCATAATTGTTTGTTGATGCCATTGATATTACACTATAGCTCTTTGAAAACTTGATAAATTTTACACCAGAGTTTACACAACAATAATTTCCTGTTTTACACAACTTTCAGATCTACCAAAAATGGCATTACCCCCTTGTCATTGCCTTTTCCAATTTTATGTGGCCGATGGAGAATTATCATGTCAACTTTATCAACGATCTGGGGATATGGTAATTAATTTAATTTTTTTAAAAAGTACAAATCAAGAGTATTTAGTTTATATTTTAAAATACTTTATTTTTATTTATAATATTTAAAGCAAATGTATCGTTTTAAAAAAAATCAACAGAAATAATTGAATTTAATATTTATATCATCTATAGCAAAAATATTATGAATGTGTTTTAGTTGTTAGATTAGCTTACAATTATATTAAGCGTGCACATATAGAGCTATACACTCATGACCTAAATATTTTAGAATATTTTTTCAGTAAATACTGACATGATTTGTACTAAACTTATATGTATGTACTGAATTTCAGGGTCTGGGTGTACCTTTCAATATAGCCAGCTATGCTCTTCTTACATGTATGATAGCTCATGTCACTGGTCTTAAGGTAAGTCTTTGCACTGCTCCTTTTGATTACAGGACATTATCTGCAACAGATTATATCCTTGAGTGATGTCATAGTTGAAGTCTTGCAACTCTTAAATGGCATCCATCTGCAAGCATCCTATTGGCGGTCCTCATATGGCGGACTGTTTAATGAAAATTACCCATCATTAATTTTGCTAACTAATTATAAAAAGTGTTGGACTGTAATAAAGCTTTAAAATTGATTAATAAGACACAAACAAATTGTGTCAATATAACAATATAAGTTACGCTTTAATAATAATTATACATTATACACAAGTAAACGTTTTGGCACATGCTTTCATCAGTACAAACTAACAAAACAGATTAAAATTAGTATAAATTAAATTTACATAATATAAATATACGTACCTACCTAAAACAGAAAAAAACTAATTATAACTGATTATAAAAAATTAGTTAATGAAACTTAATTCTGACTGCTACTATTTATATGTACGTGTCTTCTGTCATTTTTATTACTAGATTATTTTGACATACTAGTGTAGTTTTCTCTGATTGTAATTAAAAATTTTTTAAAAATAATTCAAATAAGCTTATTTAAGTTTCCTTCCATTTTTTAAAGTAAACTTAAACATTTTGTATAGTTACGCATTTTTTAAAAATGGCGTCATCCAAATTAGCTCAAAAACATATGCGTGATTTTGTAATCACTTCATTTAGTCTTTTACCTACTACTTTGTCCAAGAATTGTACAGATCTATCTTTTAATATTTTTAAGAAAACACGTTATACTACTCATGTCAATTTTTTAAATAATTGCATTCGCAAACGTCTTATATTACAAGGTTTTAATACTAATTTTTATCCTACTGGTTGTGCCTTTAATTCGCTTGATAAATCTAAACTTTTGGCCATTGAAAATAAATGTGCTTTTAGTCGCATGAGGACTGTCTTAAACTCCCACAAACGCTTCATATCTCAACTCACTGATAGGATTTGTACCCTGGAAGAATATGTTCGAAAGAATACACAACATAATTACTTATTATTCGATCTCATTCGTTTAATTATTCATGGACTCAATAGGGAACTCTATATTTTATTATCCGATGGAAAGAAGAAAAAAATTGAAAATCTTAAATCTGCCAAGAATCCAATGGGTACCACAACTCCCGTAACGGAAAATGAACCAAACCTAGTGGTTTATATAACGCCAGATCTTTCACTATTTGAACAAGAAAGACAACGCAAATCTACATGGACACCTCCTCCTGATCAATCTAAACCACTTGACCTTTACATTAAATGTACAGAGAATCAAATAAAAAATCTACGCCAAACTCCACTCCATAACTCAAACTTATCTAAACAAGAATGGCGAGCACTCTCTCATATAAAAAAACGTCAGGATATCATTATTAAACAAGGGTGGAGCTGTTGTTGATTGGGATAAGAAGCTGTACATTGAAGAGGCCTCCAAAATTTATATAAAAGATAAAACCTTTTACACGCCGAGGTCCAACGACCCCATTGTTCAGAATAATGAAATTGTCAAGGAAATTATCGAAGAACTTATTCAAGTTGGCAAATTACCCGCGTCTGCCTCAAACTTACGTATTTATGACAGTGATCTTGGTAAACCATGCTTGTATTTGTTACCAAAGATTCACAAGGAGGGAAGTCCAGGATTATCGAAGAACTTATTCAAGTTGGCAAATTACCCGCGTCTGCCTCAAACTTACGTATTTATGACAGTGATCTTGGTAAACCATGCTTGTATTTGTTACCAAAGATTCACAAGGAGGGAAGTCCAGGAAGACCTATTGTCTCAGCTTGTTCTTGTCCTACTGAACTGATTTCGGAATTTTTGGATACAATTTTCCAGCCCATGGTTGAAAATTTACCATCGTATATTAAGGACACTAACCACATGATCAAATCTCTCGAGTCCTTGGTTTTACCTAATGAAACCCATTCACTTTTTACAATGGATGTTTCTTCACTGTACACCTCAATTCCCCATACTGATGGACTCACCGCTATTTCATTTTTTCTGAATAAGAATCCTAATCCTAAATTTTCAACAAGGGCCATTGTACGTTGACAGAATTGGTTCTACAGCTTAATTCGTTTGAATTTAATGGCGAATTTTTCTATCAGATTAGTGGTGTTGCTATGGGAGCGAAAATGTGACCAAGTTATGCATGTTTATTTATGGGCCATTTGGAACATCTTTGGAGAGAACACTACGAAGGTCCTTTCCCAGAATACTACAGAAGATACATTGATGACTGTAAAGGGATTACTAATATGGACATAACACAACTAGAAAGTTTTATTTACTTCATTGGAGATTTTCATCCAACAATTAAATTCACTTCAATGATCCATAAAAGCACCATCAATTTTTTGGACTTACAAATTAACCTTCATGAGAACAAAATATCTACGTCCATTTTTTATAAACAGACAGTCATAGTTTTTTGCTATAGTCCCATCCTCATTGGTGTAAAAACTCCATCCCATTTTCTAAGTTGCTGAGACTCAGAAGACTATGTAGTAATGATGAGGATTTTGGAGAAAGAATGGCTGAAATGTTGGATTTTTTCCGACGCAGGTTATACCCCCAAAGAAATTTTTAAAGCAAAAAATTTTCAGAAAACCTCTTTTCGCTTTCCGGACGGACAAGAGCCTTAGGGACATGCTAGTTAGAAGCCACCTCCCTGCTATTAAAGCACATAAAGGCACAAGAAGTTGCAACCGTAGCTGTTGTAACTTATGTCCCTACGTGATCGAAACTTATAAAATCACTTTCCCTCTGGAAGTATTCAGAATAAAGATGGCTTTACCTGCACAAGTCACATCATGATTTACACCATCATTTGCAAAAAGTGCTGTAAATTATACATAGGAGAGACAGGTCGTCGCCTTGGGGACCGGTTCAGAGAGCACCTCTATGGCATAAATAAACACGTTCTCTGTTCGGTCTCCAAACATTTCAATAGCCCTAACCATGATGGTATCTCAGACATCACAGTTACTGGTATACTCTATACTAGTAACACTACAGATAGAATCTATATGGAGAATAAATTAATAACTAGATTTGGTACGTTGTCTCCATATGGAATGAACCAAATCCACAATTTTACGTAGGCCTAGATGCCAAGTCTTTTTCCTGTTTGGTTTTTACAATTATGTTAAAATCACTTCCTTTCTACTCCTCTTTACTTTGTTTTTGTCTGGTTTTAATGCCCTCTCCTATTTTTTCTCTTTTAGGTAGGATATATAATATTATGTAAATTTAATTTATACTACTTTAAATTTAAATGTGTTTTCTTTGTTTGTACTGATGAAGGCATGTGCCGAAACGTTTACTTGTGTACAATGTATAATTATTATTAAAGCCTAACTTATATTGTTATATTGACACAATTTGTTCGTGTCTTATTAATCTAAATAAATTTTGTTAGTGTGTATAATTTCTTTCAGCCCGTCACCAAAAAGTTTTAGAAGCACTCCACTTTCAGATCATATTTAGACCAATACATCACAATGTAATCCGTGTCAAATTTTATCACCTTTTTTTTCCCCCAGACTGGAGACTTTGTTCATACATTAGGTGATGCCCATGTATATGTCAACCATGAAGAGCCTTTAAAACTACAAGTGAGCATTTTTATGGTTTATTAGTTTATTCTAGATCCCAAAGTTATGTAGTCAAGAAGTAAATAACATTTATCTGAAGTTATGCTGTAAAGAGGTGAATATGTAAAAAATATGTTACTCGAGTAAATTGAAAAATTAAATTTGCTTTTATTTTTTTCAAAAAGTTCGTTTTTCAGCTAAGGTACACAAAACAAGAATATCTGTTTTAAAAAAAAAGATTAATAGCATTTTTCTTTGCAGATTTCACGTCAGCCTAGACCATTTCCACAACTGGTAATAAAGCGTCAAGTAACAGATATTGCAGATTTTAAAGTTGATGACTTTGAAATCGTAAACTACAACCCCCATCCAAGAATTAAAATGGAAATGGCTGTATAGTTGAGAAGTGAGAGGTATTAAAAGACATGTAGCGTAGATGTGAAAAGATGGTTCATTTGTTACAAGACATTTTTTTTCTTATAGAAACGCTTTTAAAGCTGATGTCTGCTTCATATTAATTATAATAAAGTGAGCCATCTGCAAACAAGCAAACTATATAAAATATTTTTTTAAAAGAAGTAAAATTTAATAAAACAGCAAATTAAGATAATTTATGTCAGTAAAGTTTAAACAGTTATTGCAACTACACAGCATAGAAAACCACATAAGTCATCTAAATTAATGAGTAATAAATCACATCTGTTGCAGAAATTCCACACACATTCTTAGTTTTGTTCACATCACTTTGTGAATTAACAATCTTCCAAACGCCTCATACGATATTTTACAAATTTTTGTAAAATTGCAAAGTTCATTTAGGTTTGAAACTTTGCCCCAATACTCCCTTTTGACATTCAGTTTCGTTGCTTGTAACTTGTACCGGTATCCTTAATTGTCTGTAGTTGCTGGTATTCTCAATTATCTTTGATTGTCTGTATCAGACCTGTTTACCCTCAAACTCTTAAAATCGTACAATATCACAAAAGCGCTCAATACATTATCTTAATAGTAAAAAAAAACATAGTGTATATAATGTATACATCTCGAAATCGTACATTGTACGCTAAAATCGTAAGAGTAAACAGGTCTGTTGTATCCTCAAATATATTTGCCTAAGTTGTGTTTTGATGTTAATAAATTAAAATTGTATTTTTCATTATTGCTTACATTCTCGAAATCGTACATTGTACGCTAAAATCGTAAGAGTAAACAGGTCTGTTGTATCCTCAAATATATTTGCCTAAGTTGTGTTTTGATGTTAATAAATTAAAATTGTATTTTTCATTATTGCTTACATTTACATAGCTGTACTGTCATTTTAAACTTGTATAAATTTCATCTTAATATTTTATGTTGATGTGAAATTGAGATACCACACTCTTGTGTTCAACTGTAAAAATATTCAATAAACTTGACATTGTTGTTTAAATATGGTCATATGATTATGATTGTTCATAGTGTAATATATTTGTTCACTTTAAAGTTAGGGTGGAGAGGAGAGACATGATTTAATAAGCACCGTGTTAAATTAAGCAAAATTAATTTTCATTCCACACAATAAATATTTGCTGAAACCTCTTATATATATTTTGCTTGTTGTATTTCTGGATAGCACGCATATAATTGACTATGCTATAAGTGATTTTTTAAAAAATAACATAGCTTTGGTGTGTAATATTTGTTTTTTCGGAAAAAAGAAATTGTCTCAATTTAAATGTGGTGTAATAATTATTCGGTTTAAAAGTGGTTGGAACATCAGAATATTATAGTTCATGGTCGTGAAATAAAAAGTGTGCGGTGATGTATCTTGGGGGGGAAGGGATGTAGCGAAAATTGGGATTCTTAAATGTGCATTACTTAAGTTCATGTTTTGTCTAGTAGATGGGAAATTCGCGCATTGTTGTTGCCAATGTTTGGAGAGCTATAGCTAGTTTCAAATATTTTATTACCGGTACCTTACACTTACATGTAAAAATATATGGTATTTTATAAGATTGGTAATGTTGCTTAAAGGTGGTGTTTGTAGTATATGTTTGTAACATTGTTTGTCTAGTATTGTAAAAATTAATTTTGATGTATTCTTATTTACAACAGTAAAACTTTTGCAAACCAGCCATCACTGCCACTTTTGATGTGAAGAATGCACAATGTATTTTATTTTTATGGCATGTTAATTGCTTGGTTTTTTTCAGCTAAAAACTTATTTGATGTATATAAATCATTTAAAAAACATGTACATAGTTTAAATGTAACACAATATCTAAAATAATCTTTAATAGTAAGTAAGGTATGGATAATTATTTTCAAAATACTTTCAACCATGGACATTGAGTGGTAATGATACTGAAAGGATTTCTAGAAATTGGTTAAGGTATTGTACTCTCCCCCCCCCAACTGTAACTAAGAGTTCACAAAATGCTCTGATGCTTTTCAGGATGAAAAGATGTATTTAGTATTTTAATTTTTTTTGTTAGTTGGTGTCTCTCTTTTTAACTTTGTAGGCTCTAAATACACTAATTTTAATCAAGTCTTGATAAATGAATTGAAAATTTTATGATGTAGATATTGTCAATAAATGTTTTTTGAAATGCTGTTTTGTTTTTGTGTGTAACAACAGTTTTTTGAAGAGATTAGTTGGTTAAGACACCCTGAAACCACCTGTTTCATTATTATTTATAGACACTTATAACATGACATACAATGCCATTAAATGAAGTGACAAATTATGTTGCACGAGTGGAAATGTATTGAGGCCAATGGTGGAAAACAGATGTCACTTATTAACTATGCCAAAATATTACTGTTTGGCAATCCACAGAGTTCATTTGTGAAAACAAAGCTATTGTATGATAATTACAAACGCAAGCTTTAAAAGTATGATGAAAATTACTAACACAAAGCTTAGTATGATGATCAATACTAAACATTGCAGTGATATTTTTTTATAGCCTGGGTAAATTATTAGTATTAGAAAGCAGGTATTTATTTAACAAATTTTAAGGTGAATGATAAAAATGAGAAATAAACAGGTAATTTATGGACAGAAAATCATGTCAATTCATGCATGAATATTCTGGCAAGCCCCCAATAGACATCTTATGCTGCGTACCGGGTACATAATATTTGGATGGCTTGAGATGCCTACTCTCTTTGTGACACCCAGCTTAGTAATAAACCATTGTAATTTGAGCTGGTTTACATTACAGTTTACAAAAAACACAATTATTTTCTGTAAGTCATGAGAGAGAAGTGAAAAGTGCATATGTAGAATCTTGTGGTTCTCTCAACCTTTTTAGTGCGCCGAACCATTTATAACATTTGCCAAGTTGTGAGACCCAAAACAAGAGTTATACTATACCTATTCCTTGAAATTGAGAATCAGGTGTTGAAAAGGGGGAGGAGCATAGAGTTTTTGAACATAAAAATAAAAAAAGGAATTCCGCACTGTAATTTTGTTTGGGTATGTTGGGCAGCAGAAAGAATTGTGTGGGATTCTGTAGAGGTGGGCTCTGTAAGTCAGCACCCAGAAAATTTTTTAATAAATTCATAAACCTGGTGTGGAAGCTGCTAACAGATGGGATCAATTTAAAAAACTTGATGTAAAAATTAAAAAAAAAAAAATCATGTTTTTAAATTTTATGTCACTGTAGACTGTAGTGTGGTCAGAATGTTGCAACAATAAGAAACTAATTCAATCACTATAAATAATATTTTAAAATTCAAATAAGAATAAATACATCTTTAACACACAAATAAGCATCTCAAATTTATAAAATTCTCTGCCATAAACTATATTAATAAAATCAATGAGCAGAGCTTTGCTACATGCATTAGTGTTGCTGGTTGGTAGCATATTATTTTTATAAATATGCATATCATGATGATACCACCCTTCGGTTAGGCAAATTGCTTCACTTTATTAAATTGGTGTTAAATTACATTACTATTATTTTGGAATTCTATGACAGAAATAAGAAATGATCCACACAAACTTTGGCTTCACAGGATCTTCAGCAAGTCAGAATTTAAAATGAAATACCAATTTTAAATAGAATAGAAAGTGCCATTTTCACAACACAAGATATGCATTGTCCTGAGATAAATAGTTACACAAAATTCGCATTATTATTTTCATAGCTTAGCAGTTTTATTTAGCTTACATTTCACACCAATCGCTAGGGAGTTTTCTATTATTTATTTAATTCAGGCAATAATGTACTAAGTAACTGTGCTGTACATGCACTTTTTATTTTTCCCCATTAGATGGCACACATAGGAATGAGAGGATATGTCTTTTTTTTTTTTTAAACCTAAATTTTTTGCCAGGTATATGCTGGGTGTGCTTGTACTTGTAGCCAATAATGGTGACAGTAGATTTAATTACTAAAAGTTCTGTAAGCAATGGGAAATTAATAGAGCGCAATTATTTTTCAAAACTATTTTAATTTCTTTTTGTTTATCTCACTTCTAATTTTGAAAGGCGACAAAGATATAGAACAGACTTTTGTTCTTTAGTATTTCAATGCTTATCAATCAAAGAGCTTCAAATTAGTTATTTTTAAGTAAAAATAACTTAAAAAGTTATACTATTTTTATTTACACAGAAAATTACAACAGGTGGTACCGGTAGTTTTAAAATTCTGAGACCAAGGCAATAAAAAAATTTTGCTACCAGCATCTCTTTCAAAATAAGTGTTAACAGTTACTGTGATCTCATTTCATTTTCACATGTCTCAAGAGCTCAAGGAAAGTCCTACTTAAAGGCTGTGTTCTGTTTAAGTAGGGATTAACCTAGAATCCTATATGTTAGTGAGCTATTTAGTATACACATTCAATATAGGGTTCTCAATCCGGGACAAATATATGTACTGCTCCTCAAAACCTAATAAGGCCTTAAATTTGATTGGTGGAATACTGGTCAGAAAGTAGAGACACTATCTCTTTCAATTCTATTTAGGGACAACCGTTTGTCTCTGGACCTCACCCATACACCAAACTATAACCACTCGTGATGAGCCCTGGGCACTCGTGATGAAATCTGGGTAATTAGGTTCCTCATGAACCTCAAGCAGATACTCAGATTTGAGGCGCAGATGCTCAGTGTTGAGGCACAGCAACACCTTCAGGGTCTCAGATAGGGTCTCTTGGCAGACTCAATTACTAAATCCATTGATATGACTTGCTCGTCTGAGAATCTCTATTTAGCTGTTGATTGCTGCCCTGAATGTGTGACATCTCTATGCATTCTGGACCAGCCGTTAGACCAGTGTCAAATTAAAAATAAGGGAATCTTTGACAAAATCCTGAAGAAACATTGGGAGGGTCATGGGAGCATATCTGCTGAGTTATAATGCAACACTTGATGTTTTGATTCTTTAGTCATTAGATGTCAGAACAGTCTGGTTTAAAATAATTGAAAACAATATGAACAAATAAACAGAAGTTATGCATGTATAATTATTTTATTCTGCAGGTTTTAGCACACAAATGAATCATGGCGGTTTATACACTTTCCAAGAAGTTACTTAACATTTCATTGTTTGCACCATTTCTGCACTAAATATTTTCAGTGAAAAATTTGAATCCAGGAGATAAAAATTGTACTGTCAATATAATACAACACATTTTTTATAAAAGTACCTCTCTCACTACTACAAATTAATTTAGCTGCATATCTTTGCAATCAAACAGATAATAACAAAGACAAAAGTATGGCAAAGAAAGGTCAATTGACTGAGCATAAGTTCATTGCATCTTGATCTAAAAGCTTAAGTTAGAAAAAACAAAATACAATTGTTTCATCAAATTACCATACAGCCTAACTCCCTAGCCGACAATTTATAATCATGCAAATAACTAAAGACTGCTGGGAAAAGTGCTGTGAAATTTTTTTAAACAGGACTAAAATTCTAATATTAGACAATACAATGTTTTATCTTTTCACTTAAAACACAAAAGATTTTAGATGATTGGTTTCACAGGGAAATATATATTGCAAAATATTCTATTTTGAAATTTTACATTTTTTAATGCTATTGTAATGATGTTACGATTTTTTTGAACTCACAAGTTAGTTTTTGATACATATTTATTACCCAGTCAAGTCCTTTATTCATTGCATGCATATTCGCTAAAATTTTCTTATAATAAAAAATAATTCATTTGTAAAGCTCATACGTAAAAAAATATATTAAATAAAACAAAACTTATTTATTGTGAGTACTGCTTTGGTAGCAGCCCTGTATTATTAATTTTATAAATTTATGAAATCAGTTTGAAAATGTAATTTGTCTCATATCGATGTTGAACCTAATATTTGGGAAATGAGAGGAAAAAAAATCTGTAACAAAAAATACATACATTTACTCAAAATATATTATAAAATATTCACTACATGGTAATTCCATCCTTTGCAATGTAAACAGGATCAAGTTTCTACAGGTAGAAATAGAAACATTATTTATTTTGCATAAGTCGAGGTAAACAGAAGGGGGAACAAACAACTAGGAATCATACTAGAATTGAAACAAGACAATCTGTTTGAAAGTGAAGGAGAATTAATGTAACTAATTTGAAAAAAATATATTTAAAAATGATAAGTCGCACATCCTCAAATATCAATTGAACTCAATTCATCTGCTTCGATTTCAAGAAATTTTTTCAAACATATGCTATAAATAAATTGTAAACTGCTTATCATTTGATAGAATGGCGTTTGCATCATCTTAACATTAAAGTTTACTGCAAAGACAGAATACATGATTGCAAGCTTCAACTTCAAAATAAACCTTGTTGGAGTTCATCCAGGAGAGAGAAAAAACAAATCCAACTAAATGCAAAATAAAAAGCATTGAAAAATGCAATATCGGATAAGGTACAGGTAAGTAAAGCAAGTTGTAAAAGATATATTTTTTCAGGTTTTTTTTTTTTTCCATGTTGAAATAGGCACACTTTATTTAGGGTAGAGACCTCAATTATCTTTTAGGCCTAGATTTATTTTTAACCACAGTTTACTGAACATCCCCTACTCAAGTCATTTTGATACTACATGAATGACAAATTTATTCAGAATATTAAAACTTCTGTTTAAATACATATTCTGACAAACTTTATTGCAAATTACCTAAAAGAGATTTTTTTTGTGTTGGGTGCTGTATTTACGTGGAGCTTCAACAGAGTATTTTTAAAAAAGACTAATCCCACTATGACTAAATTAAACACAAGCAGAAATGCATTCCTGATGCAGTCTAAAAGCACCAGAAACTGGGATAAGCATTTTATAAAACATTTGCAACTATTCTGCCTATTCTTAAGATTAAAAAAGTAATGACAGATATGGAGCATGAAGCAAGGGTAAATGCTGACCCAATCATTTGAAAAAAAAACAT